TCTCTTATGTTGGCTTTATTATTGCTTTAACTTATGATATCAAATGTAACCCAGATATCTATTGTGTTAACTAAAGAAACCATTTAATAAAGTTTTTGAAAAAGTTATTTGTACGCAGATGATTCGCGAAATTAAATACAGCAATAGAACGCCAAGAGTACGCCAAGAACCACATCTTATTATCAAATTTTCTGTTATTGCTTTACACACGGATGTTACTTGTGGATTAATAATAAACTTAATGAAGAAGAAAATATTGGGATACCAGCAATTATTAAAAGCCATATTAAAACACCTCCGTCAAAACCATTATCGCCTAATAATATCATCCACACAGTGTCAATAACCCACAATCTGTTCGGGATGTAGATGTAATTATAAAACTTGGTAGTTTTTAATAGGTTTGCAAAAAGTAATAGTTTTAGTTTAGCGATATATCTCATCTCCTGCTTACTCGAGGATCTTCAATGTTTTCAGGGTAAAAAATAAGAAGGAAAATCTTTTTTATCTGTCAATTCCGTAGATGCTGATTTTATAAAACAGTCTAAAACAGCTTTGTGGGGTTGTGATTTATTCATATAATAGTATCAGTTTTGGCTTTCCTGATTGAATTTCTTTAGTAAAGTCGTGAAAATAAGACAGGAAGCAGGTAATTACTGTATGAGTCTTTTCACAACTGGATGCATAGAAAGCCATTTCATGTGCGATGGATGTAAGAATTTAGTATGGTTTATATTCAAACTTGTTTTAAAGTCTGTATAGCCACCAAATCGTTAATGGTTCTTCGTGAAATAGCCATTACATGAACAACTCTTTCAAAATCCTCAACATATTAAAAATATATGTCGTCTTCTTTGTGAACAGACTGGTTCGAAAAAGATATGACTCTGATATATTATTATAGGAACCTACACACTTGTCTACAGATGTAATCATATCCAAATTATGTTTACAAAGTTTTTTTTGTATTCTTTGTATGGAAAAGTTTGGGTCAGATTTTAGCATATCATATTTTATTAAATCATTTAGTAACACCAAGACACTTGGTATCATGAAAAATACTACTTCTACCCTGTCATGGTACCAAACTTCAGCTAGTTTATGCAAACGCCCTCTACTAAACTTCTGCAGTTCAAATAGAATGCAAAAGGGGCTAAGTGAAGCTAAGTTTACGAGAGATATTTTACATTTACCAATAGTTAGCTCACTTTGGCAACAGGCGGCCAAAGGCCACGATTTCATTATGCTTATGAGATTTCTAATGTTCATTTCTGTCTAACGCTCATCTAACCTTATGGTTTTTGCATCAAGGTAACGATGATTTGGAAATTCTGCCGCAAATACACGCACCTAATACTTTTAACATATTTATTTATCTATGAAATAAATATCATTTATCTATGAATATCTTTACATATCTTAAGATATCAACGTAATCTCGCTTACTGCTGTGATCGATACAATGATACTTATCATTATGATCATCAGACGATGACAAAATGATTTCAATGCGACAGATCGAATTATAGCATAGTAAGTAGGAAAGAATAAAGGATAAATTTTTAGTTTTTTTATGAATTATTCTATAACTTCTCCTTTATCATTTCCCCCAAATGCCATCATAGTGTTGAGATGTTGTTAGGATCCTCTACCCATCTTTTAATGTTTCTTAATTCTTGTACATTTCTATATTCATATTTTCATCTTCTTCCCCTTTCGTTATGATCATTGTTTATAATCATTCTTTCTCCTACATTTCGCTGACACCAACTATTCCCATTTTATAATTTTCCATCTAGTATTTAATGTTCCATGTTTCAATTCTTTATTTTTATTTCTCAACTTTTTCTAGCCTGATTTCCATCCATATCAGAAAAAGTATGTTGGTGTTTAGTACGACAGAGAGTCACTCACGTATCGGAAAATCTTTCTAGGAACCTTACATTCAAACATGCTCGATGCTCTTTAATCGTTTTGGCTCAATGTCCACGTCTATGCTTCGTATGTGAGGACCGACCTCACTATCGTCTTGCATATTGTTATCTTTGATCTGCTCGTGAGCAGAACTGTCTCTCAAGACCATGAAGATACTTGTATGTATTTAGGAAAGGGGATGGTATGCCTCCGCATACAGCACCTAGGCCCCAACTAGTACATCCTCCTGCACTCTGTGTGTTCCTGATGCCGTCTGTGCTCGGTCATTCCTCTCTGAAGTCTCTTATTCTGAGGTCTTGCAGAGTGAGGCATTCACACAAGATGTGTCGAACCGTCTCCTCGTTCTCTTCACAGAGGCGACAGAGAGGACTAACAAACAGCAAGCTTAAGGTTATAAAGATTCTTGTTTACCTTACACTGACCCGTGACGAGTCCCGTTACAGTTCGTAGATCGTTTCTACCAAGCCTTACGAAAGACAAGGCTGCCTCTGCTGAGGGATAATGTAATACTTACTTAAACAGATGGCAGCCCTTAACCCTATCCCACTAGTTCATAAACTTTTTGTGGGTAAAATCTTTAATTATCTCAATCTGAGCTGATAAGGACGAAGCGATTATCGGTTCAGGCGAACATGGCGCTCGCTTGGCAACCCTTTTGGCAAGCCTATCAGCGTGCTTGTTACCTGAACAAGTCGAGTGTCCTTTTGTCCATGGAAGTATAACACAGTTATGCACTCCGGCCTTCTCCAATGCCAGATGATAACCCATAACAAGTCCTGAGGTAATTGTTATTCTACTCAGGGCTAAAATAGCTTATCTACTGTCAGTGTAAACGTATGACGGTGGTACTTTTACCTAGAGGTTCAGATATGTGGAGTCGGAGATCGTACGGAAGACTCCAGCTCCTTCCCGTCTCCTTGAACCATCAGTGTGGATTTTAAGGCTGTTTTTTTACCTCTACTTCTGTGAAACTTGGATGGGTGATATATTTCTTCGTAAAAATGTGCTGTAGGGGTGTGAAGTCCGTTTGAAGACACTTGTTTGCGATATTGATGCGTTGTCTGATTTCATCCCTGCATTTATTACTATTTGCTAAACTGCATTGTTGGCGAAGGGTTGCTTGGTGGGTCTCTAGAGACAACCATGTATTTTGCTTTCTGATAGTTAACAATCAGGCCAACTCTCTGTGCAGCTTGCTCCAGCGCGATGAAGCATTCCCCCATGCCTGTTTTATTGTAACCCAAAATTTTAATATCATTGGCGTATCCCATTAGTTGTTTCGATCTATAAAAGATTGTGTAACCATGACAGTTAGCCTCCCTGTCTCAGGCCTTGCTTTATTTGGAATCTTATGGAGATTTCTGTTTGTTAAGGATTGCAGATCTATTGATACTAAAGTCAACAAACAGATGGTGTGTGTTGATGTTATGTTCAAGAGTCTTCTCCAAAATTAGCCGCAATTAGTGAATTTGGTCGATGATCCAAAGATGAATCCACAGTGATACTCGCCGACCACTTCCTGCGCATAGGACTGAAGTCTGCTGTACAATATGTTGCCCAGTATTTTGTATGATAGTGTCATAACAGTTATCTGTCTGTAGTTATCGCAGTTTTACGGGTCGCACTTTTTGTATAGTGGGCATATTATTCCATATCACCATTCTTGAGGTATTTCCTCCTTCGCCCATATTAATATGATCAATCTATAAATCGTTTCAACCAACTTATCTCCAGCTTTCTTATATACTTCGCTACATATTTCAAAAGCCACCGGAGATTTATTATTTTTTTGCTTTCTAATAGCACCAATAACTTCTTATTGGGTAACGGGTCCTATTCTAATTGGTTGCAGTGTTGAAACTGGATTGCCATTTCTACCATTTCTTGATTGTTGTTAAGATTTTCCTCAAAACATTAGGCCCATTTATTCAGTATTAAGACAATAAATCATTCATTATATTTCCCTCCTTGTCTATACAGTTTTTAATTTTGGAAATTCTTTCTGTCTTTTATTGCTTCTATAGTCTCCACCTCTTCCTGGTTAAAGTAGTCTTATCTACAGTCTTTTCTTTCTCCGCTGTATTTTCTTTTCCATACTAATATTAAAACCTTGAGCTGGTTTTTGAACCGTGAAAAAGTAATATCTACGTATGTGCCAAGATTCCTTTGAGACCTAAGCCCTTTATTATCCCACAAAAATAAGAAACTAGAAAACTACAAACTTTTAACTAAATGGTGTATAACAGAGATGAGATAACTTCCACAATATTAAACTTTTTAATCCTTGAATGTGTAACGGGGGTTTCGCGATGTCGGTAAACAAATTTATTAGAATCAGTCACGATGTTCGTTTCAAAATACTTTTCATTTTCAATGAACTTTAATCGAGTTTTCCTCTTAAACTTTTCCATTAACTTTGTTTTCTTAAGACTAATACCGGATATAGTCTCACCTAACATACATTTGATTTCAAAATATTTTCCTTGCCAATATATTTATTGTTCAATTACAAATTTCTAACTTTAACTATTACCAAGCAATTTCCAACAATTCCAAAAAGCTTTCAGTTTCTGCCACTTCATCTATTTTGTAACGGATCGAATAAATACCCAAATAAATTCAGTACCGATATCGACACAAAAGCACGATTTGAAAGGTTTAAAGGCTTTTGATGTTCATTTCAATAATCAAGAATTACCGTTCTGGCATTTGGTAATAACGTGATAGGAACTTACCGAGGAAATGACTTAAACCTTCGTAATTATTCACGTTCATTATACTTTTGACGTTATTCAGGTGATTCATTTTATATGGTAAAAGGGAAATTGGAATTGTTCCAGTTTAGAAAATTTAACAGTGGAAAATCAAAAATCTCCGGAACGCGTAGGAATCGTTCGGATGTAATATATGGTGGTTTAATTCGGAATTTATCGATTCTCGCAGCCAAAATTACATGCTTAGCTATTCGAAAGTTTCACGGTCGCAAATGCTAGAAGTCAAAGATGTAGAATTGCAACTATTTTTGGATTTGACGAATTCAAAGAACAACTTTTTTTTTGTTTCAGATGACCAACTCTGAGAGTATTTACGAACAAATAAAATCGATATGTGCGAGTTTGAACCGAACAAATGGTAAGTTATTTAAATTTATAATTATATTACCGTGGTAAATTTGTTGATGTTAATCATGTATATAAAATATGTAATAAAAGTAGACAAAGCGGATAATTTGCTTTTAGTTAATACAACGGACCAAGGGTATTGTCCACTTAAATTGGACACAATGGGCTTTTGTTGGCCACCTCTAGAAATAAATGGCACCATTGAACTACCTTGTCACAGCAAAAATACGACCCAACAAACCTATGCATTAGGGATTTGTCAATCCAATGGAACGTGGTTGTTTAATAGAGCAAATTGTACAGATATCGATACTTTAGAGGTAAGTGAATTTACTGATAGAAATAATTATTATAAATTAAAATAGTACAATAAAACCTCGATATAACGGATTAAAGACGGGGATTTAGTTCAATAAAAATATACAACAATCTAGCGCTGAATAACAACTAATACTAAAGCTAACACTAGATCTAGAATTAGAAACATTCGGGTTTAGCCTTTTTAAGAGATGCACGGCTAAAGATGGATTAAATATATCGATCTATTTAATAGATACCTACTATTAATAGTAGTGATGGAACGGATAGTGATTTTGCGAAAAGCCGGATACCGAATATTCGGCATCCCCTTCGGCCAGATATCCATCCGGCCATTATGAAATTAATAAGAAAGCTGATAAGATATGTCAACTTATTTGGATCCAAGATACAAAACGAACTTCTTTAATGCTGATTTTAAAAACGAAGCAACTCTAAAAAGAGGATACTTTAATTAATAATAGGCAATATTTCCACAAGGATCCTTCAACAAATTAATTCTATAGCGAATTTTAAAACTAATCGATGAAAATTGCAACATCGAAAATTTTATCAAAACTTGAAATATTGCTTTCTCAAAAACTAAAAGTTATTTTTCAAAACGGGTTGGTTTATTAGAAAGAGGACACTTTTTGTAACATTTTGGGAAATTTTCATACTCATATTCCAAGAAATGGATTTTATACGAATTTTAAAACTGAATCGTCGAAAATTGCAAAATTCGAAAACAATTTCGATTATTTCAAAAATTTATTTCTTAAGAACTGAAAGTGATTTTTTGAAACGGCTTTTTGCATTAAAAAGGGGATACTTTAATTAATAATTGGTGATATTTCCACAAGGATCCCTCAAGAAATTAATTTTATAACGTATTTTGAAAATTATCGATGAAAATTGCAACATCGAAAATTTTATCAAAACTTTAAATATTGCTTTCTCAAAAACTAAAAGTTATTTTTCAAAACGGGTTGGTTTATTGGAAAGAGGACACTTTTATTAACACTTTGGGAAATTTTCATACTCATATTCCAAGAAATGGATTTTATACGAATTTTTAAAACTTAATCGGCGAAAATTGCAAAATTCGAAAAAATTGTCGATCATTTCAAAAATTTATTTCTCAAGAACTAAAAGTGATTTTTCAAAACGGCTTTTTGCATTAAAAAGAGGATACTTTAATTAATAATTGGTGATATTTCCACAAGGATCCTTCAAGAAATTAATTTTATAGCGAATTTTGAAAATTATCGATGAAAATTGCAACATCGAAAATTTTATCAAAACTTCAAATATTGTTTTCTCAAAAACTAAAAGTTATTTTTCAAAACGGGTTGGTTCATTGGAAAGAGGACACTTTTATTAACACTTTGGGAAATTTTCATACTCATATTCCAAGAAATGGATTTTATACGAATTTTTAAAACTTAATCGGCGAAAATTGCAAAATTCGAAAAAATTGTCGTTCATTTCAAAAATTTATTTCTCAAGAACTGAAAGTGATTTTTCAAAACGGCTTCTTGCATTAAGAAGAGGATACTTTAATTAATAATCGAACGTGATAACAGCGACAATTCTGTTAGTAATGAATGTGACGATGACTTACAAGCGAAGAGAAGAAAACTAGACGAAACTGCAACAAGAGATTTATACAAGTTATTTCTAAATAGATGTGAAAGATTTCAAGGAGTTTTTCAGCAAAAAATAAGAGGGGTGTTTCCTATAACTTTTTGTACAAAACCCCTTCCCCAACGAGTTACAGCACTCTAAATGTAGGGAAAGAAATTGTTTTTATTTAATAAATCCACTATGGAGGAATTTAGAAAAATGAAATTTGGCAGATGACTGTTGCTAATAAAATGACACTTCTTGACGATTTTTATAACCCGAAAATGTTATTACAAGGGGCTGAAAAAATCAACACCTATAATACTTTGCATCAGAACATTTTAATGCGTCTACATTTTACAACTAACAAATTGTTAGTTTGAACGCAAAAAAATAAAATAATACACGGGCTCAAGTGAATTAATTCTGAGATTGGTTATTATATTAATCTCAGCATTGTTTTATTTTTTGTGATCAAACTAACAATTTGTTAGTTGTAAAATGTTAAGAGATAAAAAAGTTGCAGATTTTTTTCCTTTTACTTTAGAGAGCTATAACTTGGAAAAGAAGAGGTTTTCAACAAAAAGTTATATGAAAGACACCTCTTAATTTTCGCTGAAAAATCAGCCATTGAAATCTTTCGCACCAATTTAGAAACACCTTGTATATCGTATTGGGATTGTTACAATGAGGTTGCTAATGACAAACCTGATATAAATATTTTGGATATTTGGTAACTATCCGGTATCCAGCCGGATTTTAAAAAATGGCCGGATAGGCCGGATACCGGATATCCGTTCCACCACTAATTATATTCCAATTATAGTCCATTCTAACGACGTCCGTTATATCGAGGTTTTACTGTCTTTAATTTATAATTAATTAAACCACATGACATCCTGAAATTTATATTCTGGTTTGATTCCCATAAATTTCTTGATTTATTAGTTAACAATCAAGACTAATGGAACGTGAACACAACGTGTAATAATCCTAGCACAATTTAACAAATTCAAAATATAAATTAATTAATGTAGGCAAATTTTATGTTTAAAAGGAAAATGTTGCTATAAATTTTCTATAAAACTTCAACCTAAAACCTTTATTGATTTACCTTTTATTAATAAGATCATAATTTACAGTTTTACAATCTCATCAACAAACTCTACGTAATTGGATACTCAATCTCGTTGGTCTCGCTTATTATATCCTTGGCCATATTTCTTGTTTTCAGGTAAGATTTTTTTTCAACAACAAATTAATTAATGCTAAAGAATAAATTTGAAAAATTAATTATTGAGCTTAAAAAATTCAAACGAAAGCAATTTAATTGTTTTGTTAGCTTCAAAACGGAATTGAAAATTTGTTTTAATTTAAATTACTTTCGTTTCTTCATAAAAAAATTAAAATTAAAAAAAGAAACTAAACCGGAATTGATATAAATTTACAGACTGCTAATTGATAGGATAGAAAACGCACACCCTATTGTAGAACACAAAAGGTACAAAACGCAATATTTTTATTTCCTAGTTGTTTTTATTTTTAAATGTTTCTTTTTGAAAAATCTTTTCTATTACTCCTTTTAAAATTAATATCACAATTTTCAACACTATTTTACAAAATAATTCAATTATATTTTTCAGTTATTGATTTTCCTTTTTGCGTTTAATTAAAGTACGCTTTAGCTTTATTGTTCGTTTCTTGATTATTTATTTGTTCGTGACAGCACCAATTACCCACCACCAATTCATACACAAAAAGCATGAGAATTTCGCATAAATCTATTTAAGCTAAAGAAAAGAATCTTCAAATTTATCGTTTTTTCTTTCCTTCGATTTTATATTCTTTTATTTAGATAACGAGTTTTTGTATCGATGTCGACTTCTTCGAAAGTAATTACCGAATGAAAGCTTCGTTACGTGAAATTGGCTTTCGGTACTTCAAGGATAAGATTGGAAGCTTTTAGCTAAACTACTTACAGGGACCTAACGACGTTGTCCAGCTTTGGAGTCGCAACGTAAAAGTTTCAACGAGCAAAAAATTTTTTTAGTTCTTAACAATTAATTTTCGGAAAATGGTTATTGGTTTGTAGTTTACTAATAATTAAATTTTAAAACGTAAAAATAAATACTTAACAATAATATGTGCGCTAATCAACCGTTTACGAGATATGTGCAGTCAATGATTGCACATCGACTGCATAATCGGCTGTTGTTCTATGACAGTCCCATTTGTAGTTTCGTACAAATTATACCAATTACAATGCTGGTGTATTCAAATACTGAAATTGGCGATATAATGTTTATGTACAGGCGTGCCTATGGGAACGCTGAAAAGCATGTCGCATAGTGGTTAATGAGCAGAAATTACTTTTTATACTGTAAAATTCTATTTTATTTTTCTGTTTAAAAAATAGATTTGATGTAACAATTATTAACGTTTTGTGATCATGAAAGAAATAGTTCTAGTAGCAAGAAATGTTAGGTGCAAGAAACCAAAAAGCCAACATTACAGAAAATGTTATCAAAAGAATATAAGAAAATTAAATATAATTACAAACTTTCAATCAAACTTTTTAGACTTTATTTATCTTCTATCATAATCTTTTAGATAACTTAAAATATAAATTTTGTATTTTTTTTTTAATTGCAACCTACTTTGTATAAAGCTGAAAATAATTATGTAACCTGCACAGTCTTACAATGGTCCAAAGCAATATTCATATTTATCGGTAAGCATGACAGTAGTATAGAAACGCCAATTCTAGACATGAAGTTGCACCTCCGCAACTCCGTGGCGTCATCCGCTCAATGTAAAAGTATAGGGAGGCTGCCAACCAAAGGCTGGGGGGGAAAAATAGGTTGGTATTGGAAAAGTAACTAGATCTGGTGACTTTAAAAAAAAGTAACTAGACATTCCTGTCTAGAATCGGCGTTTCTATACTACTCATGATTGACAATCAAAAGCTTCTCCAACATGCGTTTTTTTAATATTTCAAACACTATAAAGGTATGAAACTGGTTTAATTTGGTTCTATCTTAATTATTCACAAAATACATTACGCCTGAGTAGGTATAGTTAAAATCATTTTTCAGGTTCTAGGTTAAGCGAATATATCCATTAAATATGTACCATATAATCAAATATATTTGAATCTATACAGCAACTTAGTTAAAAATCAGAAATTTCTTCCTCTTCTAATAGGACGATTAGAAATCCTGCTTTTTCAATTTTTAGGTCACCTGCAACCCTAACGTCTAACCTTAATACCAATTGTTGCATGGTTTTCTAGATACTTGTTTTATGTTGGATTTTTCTAGCATGGTCTATTTGGCCAATCTTTAAGGAGACATCATATTGACATCTCCCCATATCCTAGACTACGCATTCATCTCTTATTACTATACTGCACCTCACATGATCGCATAGACTAACCCCTCGTATTGTTCCTTCAGAGTGCCTTCATTTCTGCCACTCTGTATTTGTTTTTTCTTTCGTATTTGCTCGTGCCTCTGCAGCATACTTTACTTTCCGTCGACATATACCATTCATCACATTTGTTTGATAGTTTTCTTACTACATTTATAAGATTTCCGTCACTAGAAGTTTCTACTCCTAGATAGCTGCTGAATTTTTTATTGTTCACTACGAACTTGCATCAAATAGGTTCATTAGAAATGACGTTTTTCTGTCGATATCAACAAATTGAAATTTTGTGAGATGGTTGAATATCGGATAAGTCTTTGAAATGAGGTATCTCCATTTGAGGTAATACACAGTTAATTTGTATTTTTTTCTTTCTGTTTCGAAGTACCTTCCTCATCATTTTCTCATTACATCGAGATCATGTTTCAATCTAAAGTTGGGTTTTATTTTCTACCAAGCTTTATCTACTCCATCGGTTCCTGTGAAATGGTTGCTACTAATATATTTATATGCTTTTTCTATGTTAGAGATGCATAAAGACAATATTTCCATAGTACAAATCCATGGTCCATATATCAATCATTCTGCCAACCCTCTTCCTTTACCAGGACTTGGGCAGGCAGCAATTAAAAACTGAAGCTATCAAATTATTAAGAAGAATTGAAGAGTTTGGCGCAGTATTGATAAAATTAAATATCAAAATGTGTTTTATGTAAAAATTCGTTTTTTTCTGTGGATTATTTGTTTCAGAATAAGATAACTAGACTCGATACATGAAAAAAATGGTTAGAATAATAAAAAAGAAGAGAACATAAGTTTAGGATATACTGCACGTTACTTTTTCATACTTCAAAACACAATATATCTCTATGTATATGAAAATCGTTAAAATTCGCAAACAGTCGTAAAGGAAAAATAGATACTTTTCTTGTACAGACATAATGATGACAAAAAAATGTGACTTAATTACTCCCATTCATCGTACATATAAAATTTTCTTTCACCTGTTTTTACTGAATGAACACAAAAGTTTTATTCCCATAACTGTCTTTTATAAAACAGGAAGCAGTGTGTGTCGAAACAACACCGACTTCTCTCTTGGGTACCATGTCCCGTCCATTGCTGCCTTTCAAGTCTAATGAAATGTACGAGCAGGGCTTGTTCCAGGAGTAGATACAATTCGTTGTTATATCTAACTCTCCATGTATTTTCTTTTTGATCGGCCCCAGAATTCTTCTTAATACTCTTCTCTTAGTTTATTTTTTGTGCTGTCTGTCATTGTCCATGCTTCGCACCCGTAACATATAATAGGTTTTATAACTATTTTATACACTAGTGTATGCTACGATGGATGTTTTTTGAACTTGGTTTGTGAGATAAATGCAAAGTAAGGTTTCCCGTTCTATCCGAACTCAATTCCGTCCCGAAGTATAAAAATTGTTCAGCCGGATCAACTTGCTTTTCTCTATGTTCTCTAAATCTTTATTCTTTTTCTGTTGATTTCGAATCCGGTATTATTTTCCAATCCGATACCTAAGTTACCACACTAAATGTTTTCAATCTATTAACTTCCAACGTTTCATCGTCAGAACTGTCATCACCTGAACAAAATCATCACCACTGTCTTTATCGTCGTTGTGGGTTTATATTTCAAAAGCACCAGATATTTTCAACTTACGGAAGAGACATTCTTCAGATCACACATCTCCATCAATATTCTCTTCTTTCGTAAGTTCGTCTACTTAAGAATTCAACATCAATTCTGTTTTTTTACGATTATTGGGTTCAGGTGGTTCAATACAGGTGGTCGTCTAATATGTTCTTAATGGGAGACATAATTTATTTTTGCAATATTCCGTATAGTTTGCTGTTGCTTTAGACAGTCCAATTGGAAACTCTATTTTGCGTAATCTTTCCTATATTTTATTTACCCCTACTGGAATCACTAATCCTGTGAACTCATTCACTTAATGCTTGACGGTGAGATTATTCAGCTATCAGATATTAGTCCTGGAAAACTCAAACTCAATCCGTCTGCAGAAAGGGTTATCATTGTTTCCACTGGCTAAAAAATCTCCGTTGCTTCCTTCCTCCGATGGTCCGTCGTAATCTTTGTTATTCTCTGATTTTCCCCCATATAGATTATGCTGACATGGCATATCCTGATCTTTCGGTAACACTCCGAAACAAACTGCACAGACTACAAGATATATAGGAGTATATCTTTGATCTCGAGAGATCTCAACACATAACTCCATACCGTAATTATTTACAGATATTACGCTGTCAGAACCGTAGATCCTTCCGTATATTGACTATGTTATACACTGTTCTTCACAATCAAACACCAGGATATCTGTACTGAGATATCCTGGTGTTTGATTGTATCTCAGTTAGATTCTCTGCTTATGTTCCCGACCCATAGTACTGAGATTTACCACAAATCGTTTACTGTGCAGGCCATAACCCTTTGGAATAGTCTGCCTACTGAGATTCGTAATATTCTTCACTTTATGACATCTAAAACGTCATTTATTTGCTCTCCAAGTATCTTCCTGAGAACTTCTTCTTCCTTTTCTTCTGTTCTTCTTCTTTCATTTTATTTCTCTTCTTCTTTTATTCTAGCAACTAACATTATGCACCGTTTTAGTTAGTGACCATAGGTTTAACGAGCAGCTTGCCATTTATTTATTGTTTTTTTTATATGTTCAGTATACGGCTGACTGATTGGGTCCTTTGGAAGATATCGCTTACACGATAAATCGACCCTTTTGCCTATATTTATACATTAAGTAATTAAATGTATACATTTTCTTTAATTTGTATTTTTTTTTATTATGGCAAGAAATTTATTATTATTATTATTACATTCTATCTTATTTCTGTACGATTTTTAAACTGGGTTTTCTGCAATGCTTTTATTTCTGTATTCACAACTTACTCTTTCTCCTGTTCTCCCACTGACACTTTTGCAGTTCTTTGATATTTCACCTTGACTTCTGCTAGAGATCAAATAGAGTTAAGTAAGCATCGAGCGCACTTCTTAAAATAGAGTGTAGGATATAGATTTAAATATAGGTAACAGTACTAACCAAAGAATACAAGCTGTTCGTATAAACATTTTAATATTTATTTATCCGTTAATAAACTGAACAAATAAATTATAATTGAAACCAGTATAGTGCCCAGGAAACACTATTATTTGGATTTGAAAAATTATTGTTTATATAATTAAATAAATTGACTGAAACAAATATCCTCGAATTCCTGAAACTACTGGAAATATAAGGTCTTAAATTAACGAGTATTTAAAACCAAAGTTTTCTGTACTTTATAGTATCTTAAAAAAACTATTTCACTATTTCAAAATTGAAAACATAATGACCATCATAACCTTCATATGTAGACCAAAATCACAATGAAATATTTCAAAACGAATTCAAGATTGTATTGATAATTTGACCAGTATAATCAAGTTAGTTCGGATTTCGACGTTCTCGGTTTAAAGCGAATTTGTAAATGATACACGTAAGGCATTGTAATGGTGCACCATGGCATTATACTAGTAATACGTCACTAGATTCGGCTGAGTTAATCATCAATTAGAGGGTAATAGAGGTCCTCTCGCATGGTTACCCAGATCTCCCGATCATCATGTTCTGGGCTTCTTTGTGTAAGGGCGGATCAAAGATAGAGTTAATGTTACGCCAAATCAAGATATCGTCACCGTATTACGAAATAATCTACATCAAATGTCAGCAACAGAACAATAATTAATTTAATTTTTATGTCTATTTATAACACCATGAAAAACGAAAACGGTTATTTTAGTAAATAATTTAAAAAAGTACTAAAAAAAGTTTCTTTTCAGATCATTAAGATGTACTAGAATAAGACTTCATATCCATTTATTTATTTCGTTCGTTCTTAATAATGTTATTTGGATTCTTTGGTACACTGAAGTGATTTGGAAAGCTGATGAAGGTGTAACATTAATAAATCCTGTAGGTTTTACGATAAAAATTAAATTAAAGCTATTAATAAGTTAATATTTGTTTTTATTTATAGATTTGGTGCCAACTTTTATTTTTAGCTAAAACTTACACGATGCTCACAAATTATACCTGGATGTTTTGCGAAGCGCTTTATTTACATTTATCACTTGTCGTTGTTTTTGTACGAGACGAAGTTGCAATGAGATATTTTATAGCAATCGGTTGGGGTCTTCCTTTAATTATAACAACATCTTATGCATGTGTCAGAATTTTCGTTCATGAAAACACGGAACAGTAAGGTTTTATTAACAAATAATTTTTTTGTAATTTTTTTATTATTATTTTAGATGTTGGATGTATTATAATAATTCTTGGAGTGAATGGATTTTAATTGTTCCAGTTGGATTATCACTTATTGCATCATTTAGTAAATTACTAAATTAATACGTATTTATAGCTTTTAACGTGTTCTATTTTTAGTATTTTTAATCAACGTTTTAAAAGTCATTTTAAACGTTATGCACCCTCGATCGTCAGATCCCGCTATGGCTGGAATAAAAAGAGCTGCAAGAGCCGCTATTATTTTAGTACCACTTTTTGGTCTTCACTTTTTATTAATTCCTTTCAGACCAAGTACACCACCTTATGTCTACATTTACGAGTACATTTCTGTATTATTAATAGCACCCCAGGTAAGAATTTTTTAATACTTCTAATAAATATAATTTTAGCTTTAAATAATTTTAATTAATATCAATAAAGTTTTATATTTTTGTTATCAATTTAATTTTAATTTCAAATAGTATGCAAATTCTATTTTTTAATTGCGAAGAATATATTTCTCTCTACGAAAGTTTGTTTTTTCTGAAAATATTGAATCGATAAATTAAAAGCAAAGTACGCGTTTAAATCACATCATAAATTGAAATAAACGCCAAACATTGTCTATTGTCTACGCCAAATAATGAAATAAACGATTTCTTGGAATTATTTAAGTCGTCGATCAAACAAAAAATGATCAAATAATGTGTTATTTCGTGATACTTCTCAGATGATTTTTTATATGATGTATTCAACATATGCAAAAAGAAAGGTGTTTTAATAGAAGTAGGTATACTATTAAAATTCCAAGAAAAAACTTTGAGCATTTACGATAATTGTTATTAATGTTGGTTGAATATAAACTAGTAGAGCACACAAAACCAACATAATATTGATTGAAATCGCACACTAAACACGAGAGCACATTTGGACCACATTTGAAGCACTTCATTGTGGCGTTATAAAGCGAATTCCTAGAAATCAGAAATTGATACGTTTCGCTTGCTTTTGTATGAATCTAACGGTGTGTAAATGTGAACTCACCGTAATTAACTTACAGGTGCGTTTGTTTACCACAGCCGAACCAATTCGCAAATTGCTATACGCTCTTACTCGAATATAAATCGAAAATAACAGTGCTACGATTACAATGAAACGACATTTTTCTCCAAACAATGAAATGAATTACCTTTGTTGTAATTTTACCGCATAAATGTCGAAAGATGAAAATTGGTCGTACTAAATACGTAAATGCGAATGATTGTAGAAACAAACCAAGTCAAGTCTATTTTGAATTTTAAATGCTTCATCCCCTTTATTGCATGCCGTGAAAAGAATTGGATTACAACTATGTCGATCACTCAACAAAGGTTTTATTTCAGAGTAAGGAATGTTACATCTTAGCTAAGGATTTTACTGTTCACTATAACGACTGAGGTTGTAGAATTAATAGCAATCAAGAGATCCAATTAAGATAATTAATGACTGAAAGATATCTACATTGAGTTACTCTTCATTATACAAATGGTAGAGATTCGTCATACGCCTCTCAAGAACAATATCATAAAAAACCATTTTTTAAACCTAAGGTCACGGTGAAATACTGAATGTTAATATGAATCGTTAGTAATTATATGATATAACATGTATAGTATATGTATCCACACAAATATTATGGAGAAAAAAAGAAAATGGGAAAAAATTCTCTAGCTTTCTAAACCGTTTTACACATCTAATTTGGAATGTACTTCATTTGGGTTGGATTAGACAGCTGAGAATGTATGAGGAATAAGAATTGTGGAGAATCTAGAGAGAAATCATGCATAATTTATTTGACGTCGGTCTACATATTTCTATAAAAAATATAATTGATTTTCTTTCACCTGCAAGTTTTACTGTTAAACTGTAGCCCTTATTTTCAAGTTTTATATCTAAATCGGTTGTTTTTGGTACTGATTAAGAGTAAAAATTGGCTCTGAATTGGCTCTTGCAGTTAAAAACCTCTTACTGTTTTAATTCTGTCTATCCATTATGTTATCTCTATTATCCACTCATGTTTCGGTTGCCTATCATCATCAGATACTTCTTTTTCTTTAATGGCACCACAGACCGTTATCGGTTCCTAGCCTCCTTTCTTACCATGGCCTCCCTTCTCCAGTTTCTGGACCCTAACATATTCTAGCTTTTCCCTAGGTCTCGCTCCTGATATTTTCCTCTTAAGCAGTTCCTTCGGATCCTTCATTCCATCATCCTGACTACATGTACTGCCATTTAAATCTCTGGATCTTGATGTTTTACATTTACATAAATTACATATCGGGTAGGCGAAACAACCAACCTTGCACCATGACACTAAGCAGACACCGTGGAGTCCAATACTCTCAATGAACATTAATACCTTGGTCGGTGAAAAGTTATTCAGATCCTTTGGAGAGATAAAAACTGCGACTCAAAAATTGAGAATCTTGATGTACTCTGAAATCATTGAGTCCTTGTAGTCTTTGTATAGCTACTGGTTATATCTTATCTCCATTAGGAGAATATTAGGTCTACAATCCTTCTCAGGATCTTTCTCGCAAAGACATCTAAGCTATATACCACTTTCGGAATAAACGTCGACGTCTCACGGCCATATGTCATTATAGACGTTAAAATTCTTTTATAGATCCAGAACTTTATGTTGCTATGTATACATATACTTATATTTGATTGTATGGGCTATTGCATAGTAAGTTTTGTTGGCCAACAGTATTCTTTTCCGTATTTCCCCAGCCCGGCTGTTATTTCTCATCAATTCCAGGATATACGAATTGCTAAGCCATCTCTATGTCATCCGCCATGTCACCATTCACGACTCTATCTGACCTAATCTGTATCATTATTGTCAATTAAATCGTGTAGTTTTCATTTTTCATTAGGCATGTTCCAGTGCCAAATTAAACAACGTTGATACGAGCCAAATCCTTTTATAGTCCTTGGATAATATTAGGCCAGTTTTGGTTCAAGAGTTCTGTAGTTCCGAACAGTTTTTCTGCACATACCTACATGTTGTATATTATATGTATGCACATATTGAAAGATTTTGTTAGCTACTCTTGTATGCGTACACATGCTTGTGTATGACTTAATATTGCTTGTGTAGGTCTTATGTTAATGGAAGCAAATCCCTGGCGAAAATCTAGAGCAACATCATATTCTCAGGTGATCTGCAGTATTTGCTTAACCATGAATGATTAATCTATGGTGTATCTCCCGAAATCCTTCTACATACTCTCCTAAAACTTTTTCTGCATACTTCTGTAGTCGCCAGGTCAGTATGTATGCAAATATTTTATATCCATTACTCGAAAGATACAAACATGTAATTCTTACATGATAATTTGTAAACCCTTCTTGTAAATGGAGCATATTATAGACTTATTCCTAGTCCCATGTCCGTTGGGGTAGATTGTGTAGCCTATTGGCGAAAAAATCCCCCCATTTCATCGTGTAGTAGTATCACATGCTACTACATGAAAATTATAATATCAAAACATTTGATATAGATTTTAGCTTATTTTACTGTATGTAGTAACTTTAAAAGGGTATCTACAACCAAAAAATTATACATAAACATACAGTCAACACACCCGGGTTCCCCTTTCGTAAAACATTTTTAACTCCCCTGAAAGTGCAATTACATAGTTACAAAGACAGAGAACAATACTTAAAACGAAAAATGGAGGAAATAGTGAACATGAGAAAGATACTTAGAACGTTCATTGGCAGAGGATGAGAGCGGTGGTGAAGATAACAATGTGAATGTAGAAGATTCAGATGGAGAATAAGTATAGTTATCAGAATATGATATTGCTCATGAAACTAATTAAGATTAAGAATTGGAAATAGATCCAATTGAATTGTCTGCTAATAATTATGCCACAACCTCACAGATTTTTGTTGCATAATACTTTTAGATGCTCTAGCTTTAAAACAGAAAGTCTTAGTATTCAAAATATAGATGTCAACAGAAATGTGTGTTATTATAATTCTCGAAAGCAATAGAAAAGCAACACAGTATAACGAACATGAACGTACAGAAAATCCAACAAAACCACTTCTGCGTTATCTTAATTTGACGCATTTAGTCACACATTCTAATTATGTGTACACAACTAATCTATGGAAACTTCAATGTTCTATTCAAAGCAACAACCATATTTAACATTTTCCTTATGTTGAATAGAAACCTTCAGGACAGCTATATAACTAGAATCAGCGTCACTATATCTCAATATATACCTTCAAAACCGGAGAAGTACAGCATTAAGATTAGACGGTCATCAGACGCTATTATCTAATCAAAGGACAAATCTTACTGGTATGGCACCTTCTCAAAGAAGGCAAAGAAATCAAGAAAAATCTGTGATTCAAGATTTGTGTTATAAAGCATAGTATTTGATAACTTTTTACAATTTGTCAATATTCACTATAAAAAAGACGTACATTTGTACCAGCCGAATTTTCGAATCTAAGAGAAAGATGGGTTTAACAACAATATAAGTACATATGTGTTTATATATTCCAAAAAGGAATAAATCGGAAGTGCTTCTTTCCACTTATCATTATAACATCGAAATTGAAAGTCCTGAAAGAAAGTCTGAAAAACAGTCGAAACAACATAGGCAAAGGAGGCTATAATATAGACAACTATAAATGTTTTACAAAGAGAAGAAGGAAGAGATACCCTTCAGCTTTTTTATGACATTATAGAGCGGGATCTGCATGGAAAATAATTAATATTAACAACTTGAAAACATCAACAAACAATAAAAGATTGTTCTTACAACAATAGAGCGAATAATTAATCATGCCTGAAATCCAGAATCGTTCACAAAATGCACAAATCATGCGAAATTTTTCGTTGCGTAGTAAAATTGCATGGAAAAACATGTTGGTCCCAGATCATAAGAATTCTGGCACAATCAAGCAGAAGGGAAATTGTTATGCATGTTCCAAAAGAAGACCAAGAATAAAAACTTGTAATGAATGCCAAAAATGCTAAAATACTGCTTTTTGTTATATATTTTAATATTTTTCTTCTTTTTTCCATACAATATAAAAAATGATTGATTTATAATAAAACAAAAATGTTGTTCTTCAATTCTAAGTAACAATTTACTAACCGTGTTGACTGTATTATTATGTTTTTTCAAAATATAATTTGTTATACATTTTGTAAAAATTAAATTTGTTCTAATTTTCTTTTTTAAGGGATTTTGCGTATGCTGTTTATTCTGTTTTGCAAACCATGACGTACACCAAGCGATAACATCTTTCATCCATCGTCAGCTTCATTCGTCCCGTTGGAGTTACTATTATTATTCAGGAGGAGCGGACAGCGCCGGGGTTTACGTAATCAACAATCACACCCAGAGTAATAATTTTGCTCTTATATGACACAAGAGACGTTCGACCCAGTCGATTCGAACCACCGAGATCCAAATGAAAAACCTTAATAAACTCAGCGAAGAAATCAGCGAATTGGTTTAAAGTTAAACGAAAAAAATTAACCTGTTGGTTTTAGCAACGTTGATTTTAAAATAAACTCGAGAAAGACTCGAATAAAGTGTTTGTAAAGGATTAAGTGAATAACTTTATGCCGAGAAACTTTATCTGTTTGCGTAGATGATGATACGGGTGATATTAATGTTTCAAAAGATGTGTTTTAGTTAAGTAAATTAATTAATTAAGTAAATGTGTTTAAAGTATTAGATGTTTCATTGTAAAAGAAATTTAACTTATCGATGTAAATTGAAATAAAAAATATATATATTTAAGAACCAAATCTTTCTTTTTTTATTCTTAATGATGGAAATGAGGACACATTGAACCATTTAAGGTAAGTACTTAACTAAACTCAATTAAATCAATTGATTATCGCCAGTTTAATTTAATAGAGTTGTCGAATTCGAATTGGTTTGAACGTAATCTGATTAAATTATCTTCAATAAACTAATGTCGTGTTTATTTTCGGTTAGGTTTAAAAATAACCTTAAAGCAATTTGATATAATAATAAATAAGAATAATTTCGGAAGATTAGTAGAAAAAGAAATAAATCAATTCATTTTAACAAATTAATTTAAATAATTTAATAAAAGCTCTAAACCAGACAAGTAACATATTAAATTTCTATATTTCACAGAATTAATATAAACACAGAAACGTTGTCAAAATTATTCAGAATTGTTAATGAGGAAATAAATTTCTCTACGCTCGACGATCCCCAGAGACCCAAACTACGTATTCTGTTCGTTGTTATTTTGCATTACAGCAGACGAGGTTTAAATCTAAACTTGTTAAAATGACGGAGTTAACTTCATTTTCAATTCAAACCACTAGAATATACTTAAAATAAGATATCTAACTCACGTCGAACCGTAGCCATGATAAGCTACTTATTATAAATTTTAATAAACAATTCAATTCGGTTTCAAATCAGTTTTGTGGAAAAACTTAATCTATGCGAAGTTAGCCCCCAATTACATGTATAGCATACTGATGATAACAAGAGAACCACTTAACCGATTTCGATAATCAATGATTCATTCGAAAGCTTAATTCTCGGCCATTACGAATGTGGAAATGCCCGATTCGAAATCTCGTTCGAATTCCGTTAAAACGCCAAAATATTGCGACGGTACACGAAAATAACACAACAATGACTTCTTTAAGTGGTCATAACTCGTAAACCAGGTACTCGATTATCAAGATCTATACGTTATTCGATTCGCCATAGATTCTTTTATGGCTAAATGCAGTTGTTGAAATGCCCGATTCGAAATATTTAATAATATTTAATCAAACACATCAATTATCTCCTTAATTAATTAATCAATTTTAGTCATCAATGTGTCGATCGAAAGTATGATCCATAATGAATGCGAAGGTGGAAATGCCCAATTTCAAAATTTACTAATTACCTACGTACGGTTATTTAAATGACTCCACGTATCTACCGACTGGAAGTCTAGCCCCCAATAAGAAAAAATTAATTTTGATTAAATTCGCTATAATTAAAAAACGGTTTGACCGATTTTAATGTTTTATATCTCAAACGAAAAGCTTGCCTCTGCCTGAATAATTATGTCGAAATGCCAGTTCGAAATATTTAAGAATTTTGATTAAAACATAAAAACTATTTAATCAAATAAGTCAATTAACTAATAAAATTGAAAATGACTCACCGATTGGATGTTGTTTCCTTTGGATTTTATTTCGAAGCTCAGCTGGAAAGAAAAGATAAATTAATTTATTGTGACAAAAAAAATGAATTAATACGATACCTTTTAACATCCATAAAATAGCAATCCGATGATTTCAACATCACTAATATCACCTAACACTTAGCACAAATATAGCACGTATTTATCACTTAATTCAAGTAATAAGTTTTATTTTTCTAAACCACTTTATCACCTTAAATGCCCGCATATCAACTAAAATGCGTTATTAGCGGATCAACTTCCAAACATCCCCTCCTTAATTTATTGTGTGAAGAAGGAATACTGGAGGTGAATAAACAAAAAATGTAAAGGCGACGGGGCGAAGTGGTTTAACCATTTTTTGGTTTTAAAACTCAACCTTTCAATAAAAAAATTACTCGTTTTCTCGAAACATTTCAAATAAAACTTACGTCATTTTATTAAAATAAAACGCACTATCGAATTTTCATGTTTAACATTTCCTGCAGAAGAATCAGGTGCCCAACAAATAATTAAAACGAAGCACCCAAGACGTTGGATTATGCATCATCCCTTATTCTTTGTGTCATGAAATATAAATTTTAAAAAAATCGTATCTCTAGAACGAATTGAGATATCATAATGAAATAAAAAACAATTTAAAGCAAATTTAATGAAGATTTAATGTATCATAAATGATGTCTTATCTTTCGTAAACTTCGTCGTTATGATTTTTTAAATCCAACTCTGTATATTTGAATGTTATAGATATGAAATATAAATTTTGAAAAGACCATCTCTATTTTATGCAAAAAAATATCCATATCTTTTTATTGGGGAATCTTGTAGTAGTAAATTGTAGAAGTTATAAATGTTAAATTAACAATGCGTATACACGCATAACATTGTTATACATGAAACTGTAAGTGCATTTTTCTCGAAACATACTTTCTACATCTGGTTAACACGATTATTAAAAAACTAGTCATTCTATTGATTTGAAATTTGAACTGCACTTTCAAATAGCATCTTTGTATCGTATGACCTACAGAGAAACTGATACGATATATACATATGTTTTTTTTGCAATAAACTTATCGATTTCAAGAACAAAATCGATTATCTTAATTTGATTAGACGCCATATTACCAATAATGTTTTTTTTGCTTAGTTCTAGTTCAAACGATAATATCACAAGTATATAGAAAAGAACGCCATTTGATTTTTGAGTTTCAGATCATTTCAAGGATAGATATTGTGTCAACCAGCAACTTAGAAATAGCACATAATTTGGCAGCCAAAAATTCCCGAAGAAATCATTTTATTTGATACAAAAAAAAGACTCCCCCCTTAAAAAGCTTGAATTAGATTATACTAGTATTATTCGGAGTGGTTTACACTCAATTTCAAATTATTTCATGTTTTGACAATGTTATTAATTAAAGCTTTATAATTTTTCAAGCACAAAATGCAAACGTTTATTGAATGGCACTGTTTTTCAAGCACAAATCCAATGAGTAACGTTCAAACGGTTTTTATCTGGCAACATTATACCATTCAAATCGCGAATTATCCCGAAATGTTTTGTGAAATTAATAAAATTGAAAACGACTCACCAAATGGATGTTGTTTCCATTGGATTTTACCTCGAAACTCAGCTGGAAAGAAAAGATAAATTAATTTATTGTGACAAAAAAATGAATTAATACGATACCTTTTAACATCCATAAAATAGCAATCCGATGATCTCAACTATATCACATCACCTAACACTTAGCATAAATATAGCACGTATTTATCACTTAATTCAAGTAATAAGTTTTATTTTTCTAAACCACTTTATCACCCTTAAATGCCCGCATATCAACTAAAATGCGTTATTAGCGGATCAACTTCCAAACATCCCCTCCTTAATTTATTGTGTGAAGAAGGAATACTGGAGGTGAATAAACAAAAAATGTAAAGACGACTGGGAGAAGCGGTTTTAAACCGTTTTTTGGTTTTAAAACTGAACCTTTCAATAAAAAATTACTCGTTTTCTCGAAACATTTCAAATAAAACTTACGTCATTTTACTAAAATAAAACGCACTAATCGAATTTCAAAGTTTAACACTTCCTGCAGAAGTATCAGGTGGCCAACAAATAATTAAAGCGAAGCAGCCACGACGTTGGATTATGCATCATCCCTTGTTTTTGTCTCATGAAATATAAATTAAACAAAAATCGTATATCAAGAACGAATTGAGATATCATCATGAAATAAAAAACAGTTTAAAGCAAATTTAATGAAGATTTAATGTACCATAAATGTTGTCTTATCTTTCGTAAACTTCGTCGTTCTGATTTTTTAAATCCAACTCTGTATAGTTGAATGTTATAGATATGAAATATAAATTTTAAAAAGAGCATCTCTTTTTTATCTCAAAAACGAATTGACATATCATCATGAAATAAAGAGCATTTTAATGCAAATTTAATGAAGATTTAATGCGTAAATGTTGTTATGACTTTCTAATCAAACTCTGCATGTTTGATTGTTGTAGATATGAAATATAACCTGCATCCTGTATATGTGCAGATTGCTCTTGAAGAATGGATAAAGAAATGTAGAGGGATGGGCGTAGAACTTGATGAACAAACAACCCTGTACAGCCTACATTTTGCTGACGACCGGGTCGTAGTAGCCCAAGGGGAAAAAGACCTTGAATATATGGCAAGAAAGTTAATCCAAATATAAAATAATAGGCTCGGTTACGAATGTAGCAAAAACACAATATCTTTGCGTGGGCGGAGAAGCAAAAGATCTGGTGCTAAATGATAACATCTTAATTAAAGGATGAGAAGAGTACACTTACCTCGGAACTAAGATGGACCACAGTGGAAGATGCAAAAACATAACAAAAGCCATACGGTTTTCTTCGATAAAAAAGATCTCAAATAAAAGAAAACAACAATTATGTAGTTATGACAATTTGTGATAAATTTATTAAAAATGATGACAATTTTTTTCACCTATTAGTCATTATTTGTCATAAGGAATAAATCCCCAAGTTTATGCGTATAGGTTGAAAATTACCCTGTCTGTTGAATAATAGAGGTGACAGTGTGAATCCTTGTCGGAGGCCTTTGGTGATGTTGAAGCTTTCTGATATTCGTTTGTTTACCTTTACTGCTGCTTCACCCCCTCTGTATAATTCACATTCATTGAAGTTTGCAATAACGCTTGCCACAATTTTTTTTGAGGAATAATGTTATATACCGTGGTGAGATCCACAAATAAGAGACGTGTTGTTCTTCCTGTAGCCACTTTCTTTTCTGTGATTTGGTTTAGACTGAATATATTATTTATACTCGCTTTGAATCCCACTTGTTCTTCCATTTCACATGGTGCCCATTCTTCTTGTATCATTTTTTTCACTATTCGACCGTATAGTTTTCTTAAGGAATTTGTAACTGTTAGACATCGGTAGTTATTACAGTTCTTTCTGTCACCTTTTTTATGGGTTGGTGTTGTCCACCCTTATAGTTATGGTGCATTAAATCTTCATTAAGTTTGGTTTAAAACGTTCTTCATTTCATGATGATATGA